TTGCGAGGCCCCCATGAAAACCCCGACTCCCGGCCGGCAACACGGAAATTCGTCACCGCTTCCGTGAGACCCGAAGCGCGTTTATCACACGAGCCGATTTCGGGGGGAGGGGGTGTCACGCTCCATATAGGTCATCCCTCAACTCCCACTCAAAAAAAACACATGAGAAAACCCCCCGAATGGAAGCATCAGGCTGATGGTGGGCCTGCGTACTGTACTTCCGGGAGAAGACCTCCGGCGCCACATAGAGCAGCGTCCCGACCTTGGCAGGCCGCAAGGAGGTCAGACTTTCACTGGGACATGCGCAGCTTGGGTCCTCGCCTTGGGATCGTGATCGGAAACAAAAGTCAGCCCTTGCTTGTATAGTGCTTGCTCACCGAGTGCAATCCGCCCCCCCTCCCCACCCCCCGAAAGGGTCATTCTGGAAGCTTAGGGAGCTATCGGTACACCCAAAAATCCTTTGCTAGTATGATTTCTGGGTACCGAGTTTCATAGTTTCATAGCCGTTGCTTGGGAAGTTGGCCCTTGTTTAATTCAAACCTGCCTCGCTGCAAAATTCAAACACTAAACACGCACCAGAAACCCTAGGTTCCGTCATCGTGCCGTAACAGAGCCCTCTGGCAAAGTGTCTGGGCTCGCGGCTATTGTTCGCTTCTCCGCAGAGGTGGCGGGGCAGCAAAGCCCGAAGTCAACCAGCACAAGCTCCTAGCAGCCCACAACCGTGTCGCAGTCAGATCGGACACACAGAACATGGAGAAACTCAGGGTTGCTCATGCGCACAAGCGCTCTCTCATCGTTCGGGATGGATGCTCCACAAAACTGAGGACAAAACGCGTCGATTTAATGAGTAAACACTGCAAGTAACGATAAACCCGATGCTCGCGCAGGATCGCCAAAAGCCAGGGGCCAGAACGCAACACTGATGATGCTAACCACACATAACTCATGATGACAAGAAATGCCAATAGCCCAGAAAATGAGGGGTACAGAAGCTAGGGTAATTGGAGGCTCCGAGAAGGGTTTAGGGCTTGTCAACTTCAAGGCTTTGGGGTTTTGGGCTTGATATGTTCCAGGAAGGCCGCCATGTTGCCCAGCAGATGCCTACACCGTTCGCAATCTCGACTAGCTGAGTGCCTTTACATACAGATGTGCACATAACACACGGAGACGAATTCTGCTCAGGCACCGAATCTGGATGTTTGCTCCGGAAGCGGAGATTCTCCTTGGGTGCATGAGGGTAAAAGTAAAGGCTCAGAAGATCAGATGGCTCAGATGATTCAGAGCTCTTCCGGTTCTTCCTCCCCTGTCATTACCCCTGGCTTCCCGAAGTCAACACATCTTGTCATCTTGGTACCTGGAGCCTAGAATCCCTCAACAGGGGCCCTAGATGCGGATCTCTTTTCAGGAGACGTGTGTTCCGTAGGCCAGACTTTGGTTTCGGGTACTCGCCGGTCAAAGATCGCGTTTATGGAGACATCCAGCCCAACAAAGGGAAACTTCAGGTTGCTTGGTTTGGGGGCTGAGAGCTGATAGGGCTTTTTCGAGTTTTGCGGATGCGCAGTTCATGGATGGCTTTTGGGTTCAGGGCTCTTCGTACGCACAGACATTTGCACCACAGGGTGGCTTCGTTTGGAGCTAAAGGCCTGAGGTCATGGTCAATCTGACCGTATGAGTCTACCAGCTATGTCACTGCAACAGCGCAATATTTCGGGCTGAAGGCTTTTTAGTCTATCTAGGACCTTCCTGAGCAGGACTTCCACCCTGAGAACTCCAATGACTAAGTCAAGTCTCGGGCTTCACATCTCGGTGGATCAGGCCCACTTCGCATGCGGAGTGTATGTGCGCCAGAGCCTTTGGGCCCGGGTTTGCCACACACACATGTATGCATAATATATATGTATATATATATGTAACCACACGCACATGTGTGTATAATATTATATATATATATAATCATATCGATATGCACGTGTGTGTGTGTATCTGTATAGGTATATTTCGAAAATGCATGTAAATGAGACGTATATGTAGACGTAGATGTCTTTGTAGAGACAGACAGACAGACAGAGAGAGAGAGAGAGAGAGAGACAGAGAGAGAAAGAGAAAAACAAAAACACAAAAAAAACATCATGAAACCAACTGGCCCCTCCAACCGAAACGGCCACCTACACAAGGAAAGCCGGGGGATCGAAGAAAAAGAGGTGAGTCCAAGGTTTGATATGGTGCCAAGGAGAAAAAAGACCTTGCGCCAGCGGCTCAATTCCCAGGACTACTTGTCATCAGCTGCAAGTTTCTGAAAGGAAATGGCCGCGACTCTTGGGTTAATGTCTTCGGAACCTGTAGCCTAGGAGACAAGCGCCACCCACCGTTCACCGAGTTTCAGCCAAGCTAAGTTCCTTCCGGAGAATGTTTCCTGCTTTGAGGGTGAGTTCAGAGCTTCCCCGGCCAGGGCACAGAAAGCGAATTCTGCATGATGAACTTTGCATGCTCCTCGGTCCTTGCGACATAGGCACAAACTTTCATGCAACACAAGTCCGAAGGGATGACGAAGCACCAAACCTACAAAGCAAAGATCCTGAGATGCTGTGCACATGGTCGCGAGACTGGAGAACACTCCTCTTGTTTCAGGAGGGACAGCCAAAGCTCCTATGTAGCCCTCAGCCAACCCCTCTCAATTCGGTTCCACAGAACCTGGCACAAAACCATGCCCTTTGACCGAAGAGCGTTCTGAAGCAACCTAACCCCGAGAGGAGGAGAAAAAAAAAACAGCACCACCAGGGCCCTAGCAAACCCAAAGTTTTCTGAAGGGCGCTCGAGGGTCAGGGCCGTGCCAGTCACACTGAGATGCTCGAACAAGTCTGGTCCTGCGTATGGCACAGAATTTCGGCTTCAGGATGAGGTGACTTTTGAGCCACTATCCCGGCAAAATGGCCGCGATACAGGTGACAAGCGATGCTCAACTGGCGATGATCTCGAAGACGTAGAAATGTTGTCTTTCTGATTCGTCGGTTCTCTACATTATGGTACGCGTCGGGGTCCCTGCTATACGACAGCTCCTCTACGGGTACCCATAAAACAAGAACAACAATCACCTAAAGCATTGGCCACGTGGACTCTATATGGCGACAAGAAAGAGGGCCTGCGAGCCCCACTTCATCTGGCCGAAAACTCGGAAGGCCGACAGATCGAAGGGCTGAGGGGTGCTACTTCTGCGTCCCCCTTTAAACCCTTAATCTGCCTTGCAAACTGCGCCTCGATGTCTTGCGGTGCTCTCAATCCACCCAGGGTCCTTCCAGTAGCTCCATAACGACAAAGAAATGCCTCAGGTCACACAGTCCAGCACTATAGGGTTTCGACCATCGCGCTGGCGGTTTGTCAATGCTTCGGGTACTCTGAGCTTCCGCACTAACTGACCACCTCGTTTGCTTGCTGTCGAAGATGTTTGGTGCGGGACGAGCGGTTGATGTTGGTAATCACATTCTGACACTCTGGTTTCTTCATCCTGAACCTAGATCCCCTCTTCGTCCCATCCACCCTCTACAGCAGTTATTTAGCAAGGCTCGGAATGCCGGCATCTAGAACAGTATCGTAGGCGGTTGCGTCCATGAGTCGCTTGAGGAGTGGCCCACATCTGCAGCTCAGGAGCGCATCGCTCATGATCGTGTCGAGCAGCCGCACAACGTTAGGGTGCGAGGCCTCTCTTGACCTCAAGGCTCGAACCCTCTAAACACGACATGCGAAACATCTTTCTCTTTTGATGGGACTGGAGGCCCGCATAAGCCTTGAAAGCCCTTAGCCTTATCCTCAAGACGTTCATCTCGAGAACGAGCTTCTGATTTCCAGGGTTGGGATTCAATTCCAGGGTTCCTTGTGAGGCTTCGCTCAGCATTGAAGAAGCAAACCCTCTGCACCCCAAGTTCCCGGCATACGCAGAAGCAGTGAAACGGTATCTTGTTCCACAAAGTTCTTGTGGTAGTGCCTTCGAATGCGCAGGGTTTGGGGAAGTGGAAGCCCTTGTCAGAGTCTGAGGTCTGTCTAGGAGTTCAATTCTTATAGGGCTGGGGCTTCGACTCTCAAACTGCCTGGGCCTTAGGCCAGAGTTGCGTGCAGCTGCTGTTTCCCACGAGGTCTGTGCTCCCCACATCCCAAAGTAACCCTAACCTCGCGTGTTGACCCACGGTGGTCTTCTGGAAGCACGACCCCCTAAGCCCTGAAGCCCAAGTGGGTGAACATGCGGAGTCTCAGTCTGGCAGGGAAGGCCAAAGCCCACAGAATTCAACTGGGATGTTTCAATCAGGTCGGTCTTGCATGGGCGTGGGCCACCCTAGCGACGTTCCCCGGTTGACTTCTCTAAGCTCACGGCCCTGCACAGTTGTAGGGTGGCCCCTATCTCGAATCGAAAGGCCTCCTTCTTGTGGTTTAGCCTCTCCCTTGCCAGAGACATCGGCACATATCTTGAAGGCCTATCAAACCGCAGAGCACGAAAAGTCCCTGGGCTTCGACTCGCACACTCGCACAGGCTTAGGTTGGAGTTGTAGGGTATACTGGCGCCTCCAGCCCAGTACTAAGACCCGGAGACGTTGAGGCAAGTCGCTGTCCGACGTGCTCTCGATTCAACAACTTGACCTGGATCAGCTACGATTTGCTGTGGGTCTCAGGTCCAATTGATAGGCTTACATCTGGCGGTTGCTCTTCCTCCCCTCCCCTTTTGCATCTTGGGCAATTAGCCTGACAAGCTACTTTGGATGTAAGCTGCTTTCCTGCGGCAGCATAAAGCATCTCGAAGCCATCGATCATAAGGTGCACTGGCTGTAGGGTTTAGGGTTTGGGGTTCGATGCTGCGGGTGTGAGACCAGGAACGCACCCAAAACTGCAAAGAGTCGAGCAACGTAGCCAAACGATGCCAAACTGCGGATGTCTACACGACGACCTAATAAAACTCCAGAGCCCCGGCCCCAAACCCACCCTAAGCCCTAGCCATAAACCCTAAACCCTCAACCCTACAGTAACCCCCTCCTCAAAACTTGCCGCTTCGGGGCGGCGCAAAGCAACCCCGTGGCACGGTAGTGGCCGACGTAGGCTGTGCCGAAGGAGCCCTGGCCGAGCTCCTGGCAAACAGGCCCTTCCTAGGTATCTGTAGGGTTTATAGGGTGCAGGGTGTAGGGTTTAGGGCTAGGGTTTAGGGTTTAGGGTTTAGGGTTTAGGGTTTAGGGTTTAGGGTTTAGGGTTTAGGGTTTCCGACTCTCACACTGGCATAAGCGGGCGAGGCAAGTCCTGTCGAGATCTCCAGAGTGGGTGCATTGACCACCAGTAACGAACCAACCAGGGTCAGCATTACCACCGACGAATATTCAATGCCAAGCCACAATACTGAAGAGCTGACCCCTGATCGATCCCAGGCAAATAGAAAACAAATTGGTACATGTCCATTGGCCGACAGAAGTTCTTTGACCCAGTCGGCGTGTCCAACAGAGGGGCTCAAACCATGATAGCTAACAGTATACCTCGATCACCTTTCCACCTTGAAACAAGCCTCCCCCATCAGACCCGACTGACTATTCCTAGGCACCTTGCGACCTAGCGACAATACGTGGAGGTTGCCGCAAACCGTCCAAAGATCAGGTATGAATACTATCTCCAGAACAGTACAACCCGAGCGGCCTTTCCTCCCTGAAAGCAACATGTGGCAAGGGCTATGTGGGTGAGACTTCTCTCTATCCTCAGCATTCGATGTCCCGAGCAGTGACTGCCGTCTGTGGCTATACGCACTCGACAACGTACATCTGTCTCTGTCATCCCCGGGCGTCAGGAGGCGCAACTTGGCAGGTGGTGGCCATGCACACGGTCCATGCAGAGTGCACGTGCGTGGGACTGTCAGCTCCGAGGTCGTGCAGAACCCAAGCTTCACTCAACATGCAGTTTTGCATCCATCAGTTTCCAGGGCCTTCACTGCTGAATTCACAAATTCTGAATTCATGAATTCCTTCTCTGCTTCGTACCAGCGGTCATGCATCTGGCAGTTGCAGGCACCATGCAGACGCAGGGTCCCCATCTGCCACCCTCCGCGGCGACCCAACTCCATGCAGTGCAGTGGTATTCGTCATGCAGTCACTCCGTGTCGCCGGGCGGCCAAAGCGGTCCGGCCGCACGCAGGCACAAGGCTGCCACACGGCAGCAAAACTTGAACATCTCGCTGTGTCCCCTGGCAGCCCAAGCATCGTGCTGCTGTATTGGGGATGCCAGCCTCCATTGCAGTCCAACCCACATGCCAAACTCGCGAGCTCCAAGGTTCCCAGCTCAGGCCAGCGTCACATCGTGTCGAGAGGCCATGGCTCAGGATGCACCGAGGTGCCGTAGACTGTTAGCGGGTTTGTTACAAGTAAGGGGGGGGGACAGGTAGGGGACGCCTGCAGATCTAGCACACTGAAGCGGACCTGAGTGCACGCTCGCGCGTGTGGGGGGTGCGCTTGTGTGTGTGTGTGTGTCGCTAACGAGGCGTGCTCAGCAGGCCGGCCCCTCCGTCGGGCCATCCTCCTTGACCACCCCTCGCCTCTCTCCCCCTACCCCTGCGCGACCCTCGACCGTCGCGCGAGCCTCATGCGACCACCCCACAGCCCGAAGGTTTTCCTCATTGATGCGGCGACGAATGGATTGAGAACGAATGATATCCTCCATACGGTATGCGAGAGTGGCCTTGGCGATGCGTTTGGCTTCGGTACGAGATTCCACCCACGGTCCTACGAAACGGTTTGCGAGCCGCTCATACGACGACCTTTCGTCTCTCCCCTGCATGTCCCCGGGCAAGGCGGTGGGTTTGGCGGGCTCTCTGGCGGTGCCTGTACTCCAAACTGCAACGTGTTGCTTGCACTGTGGGGCGTGACGTTCCGAGCTGCTTAAGGGCCAGGCGGGTTCGGACTCTGAGCGTCTCTGCTGACGCACGCATGAAGAACACACATAAAGAGCACAGCACGACTGCACGACAGCTCCCTCAAATCTCGCAACGAAACAGACGGTCCCAGTTGGTGCGCCTGCGAGAATGCCGGCATGCATCTTTGACCAAGTGTGAGAGCAACTACGTGCCCGTGCAATCATGAGGAACACATGGAGAACACAGCAAGTATGCGCAACAGCTCCCCTAAATCCCACAACGAGACAACCAGTTCCCATTATTGCTCCTGCGAGAATGCCGGCGTGCATCTGTGACAGAGTGTGAGAAACAGCTACGTGCGCATGCAAGTCATGCAGGTCCCGTGCGCCTGGGGCAAACCGGCACAGTATCTATTCCGAGGAGTGGAAGCTAAAACAGCTTTGACGACTACGTGCCCATGCCAATCATGCGGGTCCAGTGCGCCCGGGGCAGTTCTGGCATAGCGTGCATTCCATGCAGTCAATTCTTGGGGGGGGGGTGGCTACTTGGGAGGACGAGGCTTGAGGGCAGAGGTAACATGTACGGGCTAGGAGCGGGGGGGGGGGGGGGGGGGGGGGGGGGGGGGGGCGTGCCGGAATTCCATGCATCGAATTCCTGGTCGTGTGAATTCAGCTGTTCTCAACATCCACGGCCGGTTCCGGAGGTCTAGGACGGCACCACCAAGCGCGTGAGGGCTGCGGCGTCGAGCGTCATCTGGCCTCCCCCGGGGAGGACCACTAGGGCAGCCCCTCCCCGGTAGGACGGCGTCGGCATGGCCACCGTGTCTGACAAGTTGATGATGGGGGGCTGCGCGGGACCTGGTCCTCCCGCCCCCGCCCCCGGTTGTGTCTGCGGGGGAGAGCGGTAAAGCACCGGTCCCGAAGGGCGCGGGGCCGGTCCTGCTGCCTGCGCCGGACCATCCTCACACTTGTCCAGGAGGGCCTGTATCTGCTCGGACTGCTTGGTCTGGCTTTCCTGGAGCGCCCACGTCATGTCACAGACCTGGGCCAGCACCTTCTTGATGTGCGCGATGTTCTCGTGACTCTCCCGGGCAGCGGCCGTGTCGCAGCCTTCCCACAGCTTTGCGAGATCCGTAGTCAGGCCATCCACCACTGCCGTCACCACGCCGAACTTTTGCTGGAGGCTTTCCATCGAAGCGCACAGGACGGCGGTCTGGGACTTGAGCACCTCCAGACCAGCAGTAGTCGTACCGAGGTCCGTTTTGACCGCGAGGAGGTCGGCCTTGACCCCTTTATGCAGCGCCGCGAGCTGGGCGTCCATCTTCTGGATTGCCGCTGCTGGGTCTTTGATGTCCTGCACGCGGCCTTCTACCCGCTCCACGAGGTTCCACATCTCCTTGATTTTGTCGAGCAGGTTGCCAGCGGCGGTGCGCGCTTCGCGTTGGTCTTGTGCCCGGTTGCTGTCGGCGGTCAGGAGGAGGTCCATGACGGTGCTGACTTTGCCAAACATCTTGTCCGTGCGTTCCATGAGTGCTCGGAGTTGGTCCGATACAGGGTCGTCCAAGGTGGCGTCGGGGGCAGCCGCGCCAGTGTCAGGCTCGCTGGCGCCAGGATCCACTCGACCACGACGTCGAGACACCCCCACCAGAGCCGCCAGCAGCCCCGTCATCAAGAGGCCGCCCACCAGCCACTGCCACTGCGTGTCGTCCATGATGCTCACCCAGAGGTCGTGGAGCTGGCTCGCCGCGGCCAGCACATCGTCCTGTGCCCCGCCGTTCTGGGTCGGCGTCGTCTGCTCCGCCATCCGGGGCTCCTGGCTCAGCGCCTCCATTGCCATTTCGAAAATGCAAGGCACCAAAGGGGTTACAGAAATGCTGAGAGCACGAGGGCTTCAGGGCTGCGGGCGGGGCTGAGCATGTGTCTGTCCATGCATGGGGTGTCAAAGTGCAGACAGCCAACGACGATGGATGCACAAGAGAAACAAAGCAAGCATGGGAGGGGGAATGGGGGGGGGGGGGAGGGGGCGCTTTGCACTCTTGCTATCCCCGGCGGCCCGGTCTGGCGGCCCGGTCTGGCCAGCGCGGCGTCTTACACACCACTCGTGCCAACGTTGTACAGAGTCGCTCGGGAGCCCGAACTATGTGGACTCCCAGCGAGAGAGACCCTTGTCTTTCCTGTTTGCGGGAGGGGAGCCACCAAACTATGCACATGCACATGCAAGACAGAAACAGAAACTAGTCATGCTCATGCAACTGAATTCCCTGCACATGCTAACCAATTCACTTCACATTCAAACTAATTCACTCAATGTCCTTGCGACGGCGGGGGCTCAGATCGTGCCGGGCATGCGTGTCAGCCTAGTCGATGTAGTAGACGTCGGGCCCACAACCATGTCGGAGCTTCCCTACTGGCCATTTCGGGGCGGAACAAGGTAGAGCCTGTTGAACCTGCGTCCCATGCGGTGTCCACCGAGACAGCATCGCCCGTCGCTCCTGTTCTTCATCCGGGAACAGAAAGCCCAACTGCTGGAGGTAGGCTCGATCTTGCAGCTGAAGCGTTCTGAACCCCGCCAAGTGGAAGCCCACGAGGAGGACCCGGGACCCCTGCCAGGGCTCCGTGGCATGCAGAAGGCTGCGCGCGCTGAGTCTGGTGGGCCCGCGCAAGGGCGCAACTGCTCCCAGGACCCGTCGTCCACGGAAGATGCGTGTCTCCAATCCGGTGGGGGATTCCACCCAAATTCCACCCCCAACAAACTGCGTAAGCGGGAGGAGCAGGCTAGGCAACCAAGAGTTCTGTTGGTCTCGATGTGGGGCAGCACAAACGTCGAAATTGACCACCAGAGTGGTGAAGGTGTCCCCCGGGAAGTGGTGACGCAGAACTCGCGTCAGTAGCCGTGTCAGCGTGGGGTACACACGCGAGAGCGCACGTACCCCTGCGCGAACGTGCACATAGGCGCCGAAGCTGAGGGATCCGCCTTGCTCACCCCTGACCGGGGCGTCGACATCGAGGTACCGGAGCGCCTCCACCACTTTCTCCAAATGCGGGGCCGCATGGTCCTGCAGGAGGGCACCTGCTGCCAACTCCGCCGCAGGCCCATCAGCGTCCGCGGCATCGCTGTCACTGTCGACTTGCACAGGGAGCTCGGCCGCGCCGGGTGCGTCCTCATCCGCAGTGTCCAGCAGCGTAGGCGGCGGACATGACATGGCTGCCCTAGCTGCTCTACCGCGGACGCGTCTATTTC